GTTGTGGGTCAGAACACGCAGAGCACCTCGTCTCCTTTGGGCCACGGGACACATTTACTGACGTTGCTCCAAAATTAAAATATCATCACGAAACCACAATTACATTAGCTGCTTCTGACATTTTAAATGCTATTACGGTTGTACTAACAGCACAAATGTGCACATCAGAACCGCAGCATGCAGGACTTCCTTGTTTTCTTCTGGGTCTGTGCGCTRAGTCCCGCCCCTGTCCTTTCTGTCCAATGGGAGCAATGATCGTCACCCTCGTGGCTTTGTTTACAAGTTATAGTTCGTTTGRAAAAYWGCACAATGTGAATGCAAACCGCACCAAACGAAAAAAATAAAGTCCACTTTTGGTCTGYARCGAGCAAGTGGACCAAAGGACTTTCCTGGTCTGAATACACCCAAACTCTGGTTCGTTTGAAGCGGACCAAAMGTGTCAGGTGTGAATATGACCTAAGTCTCAACACAGGGCAGGTAATTGCTTCCTATTTGTGTTTACATGAGTTTACATGTGATAAAGATCTGTTACAAAGATAAGCACATTACAGATCCTGTATAATAATGTTGACAATGACATAAAGCAGGGATAATGTGCAGAGCATGRAGGGACACACCCAAATGAAGAGTGTATGTGTGATGAGGAGGGCTATGCTTGTGAAGCATTAACCCTTGTCAGGTAAAACCATGACTGTGGGTACCATAGCTAACTCTACCCATATCTGTCACTTCTTTATTTGTCAAAAGCCTATTGGCAATAAAAAAAAAAACATTTTCTTTTGGTTGAAAAAAATWTGTCAGCAATCAGCTGAACTTTTCAAGTTTTTAACTGACACACAACTGCTGAMGTACTGATTTGTTTCTTTTCAGTGACTTGTGCTATAATTAAAAGTCCTGGCATACTTTGAATGAATGCATACAGCCCAGCACCTTTCATGCCAGTGTTATATATCATCTTGAGTTGAGAAATTGTGAAGTTATAGTGTTTTTGGTCAAACTTTGTCAATATTATGCTCAGTCTCATGTAAAATGTTAATATCCATGTGTACATGTACAGATCATGACTTCTCCAGCCTGCCGATGAGTTCTATAAAGATATGTTTTTGTATTTATGTTACATCACTTAATWTAAAAACTTTTACCATTATCGGGCACCCCCCAACACACTCTCACACACACACCTATTATGTCTCTCTATCCTTGTGGGGACTTTCCATTAACTTCCATTCATTGTTTGGAAATGTTATATCCTAACCCTGACCATTTACCCTAAAATTAACCTAACATGTACCAACCTGACCCTAAAACTAACCTAAACTCAATTCACACCTTGGTCCTACCC